CTGGTAGACGCTGATGCCCTGTTTACATTATGCTGGTGGTTTACGCTAGTGAAATAGCATAAGTGTTAACACCCCATTAACGGGGAGAATAGTTGTGTAAGTGAGGTGGGTTATATTTAGATCAGGATTCACTATGGTAAGATCGGTCGATTAAAGCAGAATTCGTTTTTCATTTTTTAAATCTAGTGGGGATAGAATAAGGCAAAGTAAAAAATTGCAAGGAAGAGGACGCGCCTGGGATTGAACTCCCGACCTTCTGCTCAGTAAGCAGAAACGGTAACCACTTAGTTATCAATTTTGTTTTTGACCTTACCATATCTCCCTTCAGTTTATGGAACTTCTCAATGTGGGTCGCAATAAACGAAAGTTTGACAAGTTCAGTGCTGATCTAGAATCTGAAGGCTTTTGATGCTGTGCCACAAGGCCTATGTATTAATGCCATAAGATGGTCCATAGAGCCCAAAGTTGATTAATCTGATCTCTCCAAGTGACCAATAATGCTTCTGAACGTGGCACAGTGGGACGAAATCAAAAAAAGTGGGTCATATTTATTAGCGACAGCTAATAATGTTTGAGAACTTTATTTAAGTATTTTTTATTACTTTATTTGTACAGGCTTAATCAAATAAACTTTACAGAGCTAAGTTATTATTTTTATTTAAGTAGTGAAAATTGTTTCTTAAGGGGGATATATTTTTTTTTCCTTTGGTTTGTTTTTTCCGTCGATCTTGTTTTCCGTGCTGAGCACCAATACTACCGACGTGCCAGGAAGGCAGCTCCCACACCTGGACCCTACCTATCGACCCATCAACTCATGAACCGGGTACCAACGGCTTTACTTCCCATCCGAAGGAAGGCGTGATCAGAGATGTTATGCCTCAGAACATCCCGGCGGCGCCGACTGGGATTGAACCCAGGCCTGCTGGGGTGAGAGGTTATCACGCTTACCACTACACCACCGGCGCCGTTAAGGGGGATATACAGCAAGATAAAAATCTAACTTTTTTATGTCTTGTTAAAATTGATGAACATCTATGAAAACATTGTAGATGCAGTCATTTTAAGAAACTTGGTTGAAGACGAAAATTTTCTACCTCTTAAGTGGACGAAGTTATAGGGTGAAAATGGAGTCCAAAAGGTAGTACTCCTTTAAAAAGCGTTATTGTACCATAACTCTGTTGTTTGAATTTTCGCAATTTTTTAAATGTTGCACAAAGTTGAAAGTGCTTTAAAAATGTACACTTTTGCAGAAAGAAGCAAATCGCTATCTCTTCGTTTTTAGGATTTATGCCAGTTTTTATAATTATAAACTGATTTGCAGCTAACCCACAAGGCCTTCGAAGATAACTAATAAGACCTCCGAAATTTAACAATAAGATTATTTCAGCTATACTTAAGGTCTCTAAAAATTACTTTTTAAGCCTCAAAACTTAACCCGTGAGACCTTTAGAGCTAACCAAAAAAGAAAAGATATAGAAGGTCTCTGCAGTTTATTCATTTAATCTCTTCACTAAGCCCACAAGGCTTGCAATGTCTCTCAACTTATAAGTCATTGAGGAGCAGTTCTACGTCAACTGTCAAATAGATTTTACTTTTCCGTCTCCGAATTCCATAATACTTCGCATAAGTGTTCGCTAGGGGCAATGAAACAAGTTTATGGCGGATTTCGAGCATTTTGACTCAAGCCTAATTTTGAAAAATGGCGTATTCAATATTTAGTAATAAATCATAGCACGAAAACGTGTCATCTAATTGAAACGTGATCTGACACAACGTGTAAGGAAACTGGATTGAATTTTCAAAAACTTATACACACTGAATAAAGAAACATAAATTTCCACGGAAAAATTAAAATTGTTGAAACTTCAATATCAATGAAAACATTCTTTATGTGAAAGCTTATCAGAAATGATAACTTTTCAGAAATGGACACAAATGAAAATTGTACAAAACCGTAGATCATGAACTATTGGTACGAAGTTAAAACTTTTTCAAAAATATTTTTTTTGAGTTTCATGCAGAAATTATATTTATTAGTTCAGAAAATCGTTTCACTTGCACAAATCACTTAAATATTGAAATAAAAAAAATGTTAAAAATATTAATAAAAGTGTCCATTTCAGAAAAGTTAGCATTTTTACATTGAAAGCTTATAAACATAAGTTAAAACATCTTAAAAAAGTACTCTTTTGGAAATAGAAGTTTTTAACAGATTCTTTTAATGTTGACAAAAATTTGTGATTTTTATTCATGTGTATTTTTTTTTCTGTAAAGGCAATCCAGTTTCGTACAACTTTGTCTCAGACTCAGAAAAATATAGAATACGCTCTTTTGAAAACTTAGGCATGAGTCAAATTGCCCGAATTCCAGGAAAAATTTGATTAATTGCCCATAGCAAACAGTTATGCGAAGTTTCATGAAATTCTGATAGGTAAAATCTAAAAAATAAGGCCTTTTATGCTGATCAATAATGCCTCTTGAGTCTTGACTAAGCATTTGAACATGGCCCAAAAATCATCTGAAGAAGGCTGTGTCATTTCGCCGAAGAACATTTAGCCGAAGGATATTTCTCCGAATTTCACCGAATTTTAATCATGAATCAATATTCAATCAAAATTGATTTGGAACGCATTTAAATAATAGATATTCCCATATAAAAAAATGCTGATTATTTAGAAAATTCCGAAATCAGTACTATTCAAAAGAACTATTCATATTTAAAAGAAATAAAAAATATTGACAAAAAAAAAACAAAAAAAAACCAAAACAAAAAAAGAATATTGATTATTTTGAAAATAACGAAACCAGCAAAACTCGAAAGAACTGGTAATGTTTAAAAGGAGGAATCATTCCTATAAATCAAAAATATTGATTGTTTAGAAAATAATGAAATTGGTACAACTCAAAAAACTGCTCATGTTCAAAAGAAGGAACTATTACATTCAAATAGCTTGCCGTTTGAGAAAATCGAACCTTCTTAATCTTTTTCCGAAACTTATTTTAAAATTTTACTGAGCTTTGAGAAAAGTTCAAAACCGTAGAAAATGGCTTGCTCTTCGGTGAAATCGAAATGACCCATTCGGCGAAATGACCTCCGACGAAACGACCTCCGGCGAAATGTCCTTCGGCGAAATGTGCTTCGGCGAAATGTCCTTCGGCGAAATGTCCCACTTCCCATCTGGAGTTAGCTCTTAAGGCACTGCTGTTCTGAAGTTGTCTCATAAGACCTATGGAGGTGATGTCACCGGTGCTGGTGGTAGGCGTGATAACTATCTCTGCCAGTGTGCCTGGGTTCAATCCCAGCCGAGGTGGGTGGGATTTTTCTAAGGCGAAAAATCTCTTGTCACGTCTTCCTTCCAAAAGGAAGTAAAGTCGTTCGTGGGCCCATGTGTTGATGGGTTCGATACGTTCCAAAAAGTCACTTCTCTGGCTTTCAGACCGACTCAACATTGAGTAGAGTCGGCTCAATTGAGGCAAAAGTGGATTCACTCGAAAGTGAGTTGAATTTTCCTTGCTTTTCCAGGAAAAAAAAAATCTAGAAACTGAGGAAAATCGATAGAGGTTTCACTCAGTCTATTGGTATACTGCCCATAAAAGCATAACAGTCCTATATGTATTTTTGTCTGAAATGAGTTATCTATTAGAATCGATTGTAAACTACTGAGCACTAAAAGTTACGTGCTTTGTTCAGAAACTATCGTGAAAATTACCAAAATTAGGTCCCATCCATAAGAGCCTACGGAAAAATACATTTTCAACAGTGTTTTTCTCTGCTTTCTGTTTTTCCAGATGGGACTGATATGCTTTTATCGGCAGTATACTCCTAAACTGAGAAAAAATTTCATGGATTTTCCTCATATTCGAGAAGTTTTTCCTGGTTTTCCACGGATTCTACCCGGAAAATTCAACTTGAGTTGATGCACTGTTGCCGAAATGGAGTCGACAGGGCAAGAGGCCCACAACAAAAAAATTCTGGCACCACTTCCGCACCAAATCAACAGGCAATAACTTTCCTTCTGCCATCGCCGCACCGCGTATTACAATGATTTACCTCTCAGCAGTTTTCCGCAGAACCATCGTCATAATATGTAATGTACGAACTTAGTTCAAAATTCCAACGAGAAGGATGAAACGAGAATAGGTACTGCAGCCAGCCCAACGGTAGCATACGAGTTCCCCCTCCCTTGTACAAGGGAGGGTTTTGAAAATCACGCTTCCATCTACTGGCAAGGTACGCAGCACTCCAACTCCAAGCCCGAGCAGCTGCTTGAGCTCTCGACATCGACATCGAGAGCAATGAAACCACACGAAATTTTTGTAATTTTTTTTCCCTCGAAAGAATGAGAGATATTTCGCGGGACTCTGGAACTCCGCTTAAACCAACGACGATGGTGACTGGAACGATTTAATTTATGCAAAAATTATGCTTCCCGTCTGCTCGTTTCGTTGTTGCTTGGGCGTATGACGATTCGTAATTTTCAGTATTTTTTCGTTCTTTAATTGCCCATTGCGCTCGATGGTGACCTGTTCGTTGTCGTTGTTGGTGACTGCCTCTCTTTTGCTGTTGCTGCATTGATGAATGGGAATATAATTGAAGGGTAAATGGGTTTTCGGTTATTTGACCGGCTGAGTATTGCGGCCGGGGTTTCCAGGTATAAATCCCCGTTTCTCCGGGTTGAACTTTCTCCGGGAATCGGGAAATGAAAAATGTTAAATTGCAACCGAACACGTGTTCCCAAACACGCAACCGGTGGCTGTCAATATTTGGAACGATTTAGCAGGCTAATATGAGCCGATTACGCTTGCATGCAAGTTATGCAATGCAAGTCGTCCAACCCTCCTGATTCTAGTCCTAGGGGCCCGTCCCAACGAGCATATGTGATGAATGTAATGGGAGGAGCCTAGACGCATGGACCCTTAATAAATTATCCTGTTTTTTCGTTTGTTTTCACAGGAACCCCTCTATCTGAAATGGAAGATAGACTTATTAATTCAATTACCAGCTGCGATTGAAGGGACGGTGTGAGTGTCTGAAATAGGAAGAGAGAGAAGAAAAAGAAAACATGTTGTTTGGTTTGGCATTCGGGGATCGGCGCGGTAGTTTTTCTCTTGATTTACGGAACTCTTTTATTTTACAATGATGGCGTTGTTGAGCTGAAAATCGTCGCATATTCGAGGAAGTGTCTCTGTGGCTGTGTAGATGTTCTTTCTTTTCGTTATTTTTTTGTTTGTTAAGCTTGTAAGGAGAATTCACGTCCTTGGAGGTGTGCTTTGCCTTACATCGGGAAGTGTTTGAAAAGTTGAGGGAGGTTTTGAAAAGACCGGTGACCATAAATAACCTGACAGCGGCGAACGGACACACATCGTCGGTGTAGCCCCAGGGAGATAAGAAGAGCGAGAGCTGTCGTCGTTGCTGTGTGGATTGAAGGTTGGGAAGAAAAATGGGTTTTACAATGAGATGTGTAAAGTGCAGATTATGGCACAGAATGGAAGTTCGGTGATGGGTGAAGTTATGAAAGCATACATTTTGAATGAAAATTTGTGGTGTGAAGCAGAATTTTCAGTACTAGTTTTAAGTAGTAAAAATACCGTTTGATAAATTCATGTTAATTTCTGTGACATATACAATCAAAACTAAATCACATAACCAATGGACAATATCCATGTAATATTTAAATCTTGAATGATCAGTAATCTGATGCAAAATTTGATATTTTCGCTCCACAGTGCTCAAACGGTTTCAAATCGGGTTCTACGAAAATATGAACTAATTTAGTATGAAACTTAATTGGCACCAACCATTTAAAGTTTCCATATGGAAATTACTATGGGAAAACCAATTTTGTTTTTTCTCTTATTTTAAATTAGCTAAATATGTATATGGAAACAGTTTTCTTTATTAAATCAGTTAATCAATGGTAACATCTACAGATTTTTTTAAGATTTTTATGGTATAAATCAAGACTTACACTCGCATTTTAGTGAAAATGAGTTAAACCCTACTAAGTTGATTTCAACGGACGTGTTGATTAGCAGGCGTGTACTAAACAGCTAAGTTTTACTGAAATTTTTAAACACTCCTGCGTTCCAAAACTCTCGCAAAAATTGCCTCTAACCTTAACACTCAAAGACGTGCCATCACGCTTATGCTCCAATATTAGAAAGCATCTTTCTTCCCAGAACGCCTTAGCTGGGAAGTCACTTGCAAATTTATAATAGCTAACAACCACTCAATAAAAGGGGTGATAAAAATTTCCACAAAAGAATCCCACGAACCTGGCGTAGTTGACGGTGTCGGTGGTGTTGGCGGTGTTCCATACAACACCAATGTAAAAGGCCGCAGTCAAGGATGCCATAAAGGATAATTTAGATTACTGATAAGAGCAAGGTGCAAGCATATGTGTGTTCCAGTCGGGAAAGGGATAGGTAGCTTGACATCGAGCTCTTCATTCATTTTCAGCTTCTAGTCCCAAGAAGGAGAAATACCTGTTTCCGAGTTGCGAGAGAGACTCCCACTCCCGGCCCAAGCCGAGTGTCAGTCATTGGCTAAGGAAACCATTAAAATGATGGATTACCCATCAACAAATTTACGGCCACTCTTTTGAAAACGGTTACAAAAAATCCGGAAAGCAACCCTTCCCTTCAACATCGCCCCGCCGTCGCAAATGCGTTTGGATTTTGGGCCGACGACAACCTGCAGGCTTGAGGGAGATCATATAAGAGTGCTTATCGCGGGCGACGACGATTATCACCAAGCGCAATTTGAAGACAATTTTACGCTTCCCAAACATTAAGATAAGCCCCGGCTGCTAGGCCACAGATCTCCGACGGAACCGTTAGCATACCACGTGTTGCCTCGACGGCTCGGGCTACTGTCGTACAATTCCGGGAAACACATAAAACTCGAGTTTTCGGAAGCTAAAACGATAAATTTCCTTCTGGTCCTCTCCGGTTGCAGGTAGTTCATCGGATCGAATGTAATTGGAATCCCGCCTGGTTCGTTGAATTTCGATCTACTCGAAACCAAAGTTGTGTTTCGATGAAGATTGCGCCGGGATTATCTGCTGGGTCGTATCTCACTACTTGACCATATAGACAACAGACAGACGGACAGAGGGCATACTTGTATAGGAAATCAATGAACTATAGCAGCAGAAGCAGCAGCGGCAGCTGAAGCAGGTCGATTGGTGGTGGGCGCGTTTGCGGGTCATTCCGTTGAGGCGATGGAGAGGTACATTAATTTTAATCACTGCGGTAGGATTTTTTCTTGGCTTTGACTAGCTACCTAAATAGTCGATTAATTGTGATAGATAGCTCGTGGTTAGAGGCCTCCACAGCCGGGTCGGTTAAGGCACGGTATTAACAAGCAGTGGGTTCGATTGCTGGTCTGTGTTAGAAAATTTGTTGGTTTTGAAATTTTCCTGACTTCGCTGGGGTATCAAGGTGCTTGCCACATAATCCTACAAATTAACGAATAGGTTGGTATATGAAGGGCTAAAGTTGAGAGTAGGCATAAGCTCGTAATAAACTCGTAGTTGCTATTTTTTGGTCATTTTGGATTCTACTATACTATAGATGTAGAGGAAAATGGATGGTTATACTTTGTTTACATAGCGGATGATTGTATTGAAGAATAACGTGCAAGTTTAATTTGAAGCATCTTGAACCCATGGCTGTAGAGTCGGAGACAGAGATCAGGAGTTGGAGTCCGAGTCGAATAGATTTTTATGATCTGAGGAGTCGGTGAAATTATTCAGAATCCGATCCGACTCCGAAAAATATGATTTTCAGACTTGATCCTCTCATATTCTAATGAATCTTTGCATAAATGTTGCATACATTTGTGCTGGAATTTAATTATTTCGACTTTTTCAATAAATCATAGCCCCGAAAACATGTATTCATATTGAAATGACATCTGAGACAAATTTGAAGGACAGTAAATGCACATTCCAGAAAAAGTGCATACCAACAGTCCTGGACAGTTGTAACATTCGTTGCATTTTTCCATCAATGATGAGATCAGGCCCTTCTTAATTATTTTAATTCCGTCCAAAATACTCAAATATTTACTAAGAAACATTTCTGAATGATGGCAATGCACAGTGGTCCAAAAGCCGTTTTTTTTGGAATCTTTCTTGAATACCTCCTTATTCCATTTATCGATAAAAAATTTCATTAGCTTGGTTCGGGAAAGTTTTTTTTTGACGTAGGACTACGTCTGTAATTTCTATATGGGGGTACACTTTGTAAAAACCGAAAATGGAGCATGTAACAAAATTATGAAAGATTTTGAACGTTAATAGCTCAGCTGCCCTTGAACCAATTTCAATAATTTTATCACCAATCAATCAGAAATATTCCTACGCATCTGTTTAATTTAAGACTTCATCATTTTTCAAAATGTCACTATTGGAAATTGCACAAATGTGCAACTGTTGCTATGATAATTAAAATTACCACCGATTGCCTGCGAAACGCGATTTCCCTAAGACAGATTTCAAAGTTGAACTCCATCCACGTGGTAAGTGGTAGTGTTTTCCAGTACACAACGAAAGGCTCCCTGCAAGCAGCTAGCTATCAAGGCTGGCCTCAACCGCATATCGGATTCACTTTCAATCACCGTGTGTGGTGTCCGGTCGTCGGCATCAGCAGCAGCAGCAGCAGTGCTTTCGGGACGTTGCTTTTGTTGTTCTCCAGTACACAGTGAAAGGCTACCTGCCAGCAGCGAGCTGCAGTCCACACGAGAACCCCGCTCAAATTCCTATTCCTACACAAAACACAAGCTCCTGCTGCAGTTAACAAATAAAATTTATTATGTAAGACCACGTAGTCCTACGTCACCATTGCGTACAACCCCATAGGGTTGTCCCTTGTAGTTTTTTTTCATTTAAATTGGCCAATCTTTTGATGTTCAAGACATGAGGGTGGTCCTTATGGATGATGAGTTTCAAATACTTGTTAGTTATTCGAGTTAGAACGGCAGTTCGAAAAAGAAGTACAACTATTTAATCGAAACAATTTAGCTGAAGGTATAAATTTTCTATTTCTATTGGTTTACGATTTACTGCTTGATTGCAATAAGTTACTAAGGGTGGCCCTTAAAAAATCGGTTTCTACTGTTAATTTTAATACATTGATTTCTCGTAAATGATTTGTTCTAGACACTTTTTGTGGCGCACATTTTTGACGAAAAATTCGATTTTCAACAAAATTTGTCGGGTAGGTGTATCAGTTATGGCCATACGTTTCTATTATGGTATGATCCAATAATTGCCTATGGAAATCCCATAAACCATAATTATAACACACCATAATAGGAACCAATACTCATCACTGGTACATCCACGCTAGATTTTTTTAAACAACCGATTTTGTTCTTTAATGCTCAAGAGACTGTGATTTTCATAAACAGTACATACACTCAATTCTGTTTCAATGAATTTTTTTTTCGATCGTTTTTTTTTACCGTGTGATCTCAATTTGCAATCAAGTTCAACATGTTGCAAAAAATCAAAGAAAAACATGGTGGTATTTAAATTGCTGTGCCCACCCTTAAAAGAGGACGAAACTGAAAAAAATGAATATAGCTTCAAATCAGAATGAATAGTATATTTAATTTAAATTTGAAATAAATAGTCTGATAATTTAATCAAATTCACAACGCCAGACCATCTTTCTGAAGGCTCAATTTTAAACTCACATCAACATTTTAAAGTCACATAATTTTCGCTACTGTACTGCTTGATTTTGAAAACAAACGATTTTTGGTTTTAGCTTTATAATTGCAATCCTTAGATGTGATCTGATCCAACGCTTCGTGATTATCAGAACAATCTAAGTTAACATTTAAAAAGAATTTGAGATTTTAAACTGCAGGCACAATCCAGTTAAACACATTGGAGACGTGTTTCCAAAATTTAACGGACATTGTATTATAATGTTCCGTAAAGCATATTTTGAAGGAAGATGTCCCTTTTTTATTTATTAACTGCTTTATTTGATCAGGCTCAAACGAATGAACTTTACA